TGCTTTTTTTTTTCCCCACTAGCACCACAACATGGAAATACTGAACTATACATTCAAATACAAGACAAAGATAAGCGATAACAGTAACAAGGCCGGGGAGAGGGGAAACAAAATCACTACCTCTGTGCTAGAAAAAAAAAATAGTAATCAATAAAATTTGCTTAATGGCAGACTCCGACGGTCAAAGATTTCCAGCAGTTCCCTCCCATTGCTAATATTAGGTCAACGACATTCAGAGCACTGAAGGACTGGGACAAACTCACCAATAGCGCATTAACCACCTTGTCATATAAACACAGCTAAGAGCACACTTAGTTTACTAAGTGTTTAAGGTACCCTTCTATTAAAGCTTCAGAACTGCACTGCACTCTCATAACTTTTACAGTCTTACAAGTGGTGCACTAATAGCCAGCGTACCACTAAATTAGGCTTTGCCGCCCTAGGCTGCTGTTTCATGGCCAGGCAACAAATACGAGCAAGGCCAATTAAAACGCGTTACTCCATTGAGAGCCTAAACTTACAGGGGCATCTAGACACCAGGTTAATACCCAGGAACGTAAGTACGCAGAACTCCCCCTGAAGTCGCTTTTTTTTTTTTTTTTTTTTTACTTCCCTGCTATCTACAACGCATTCTCAAAAAGCTTTCGCCAACTGCTCAAACGCCACAAGCTCTACAATAATTTGATGTGAAAATAAATTCCGGTGACAAATTTTAGGGACGTGCAGACTTTCCCAAGTCAAGCTCTGCCTGTCATTAGATTTAAAAAAGGTCAAAAAACATAAAAATGTTGAGACAATCTCTCCTTCACCATTTATACCAGTTTGTCTTCATACTCCAAGCAATTTTAACCTCAAGCAAACATAAAGGGAATTAAGACCTCAGTCCATTTAATCACAGAGGAAATAACAAGCAAATATTGCTTTACATCCAAAACGATTGCATGTGTACATGCATGCACATACGCACACAAGTTCAGTCCTTTTTTTTCTACCACATAGAGCCTGAAAGTCCAAAAACATAGATATCACGCTGCTGCTAACAGCTCCTCAAACACAATTACAACTGGACTAATCTGCTCCCAAGCTCTCCTAAAAATACAACTATCAGGCAGAGCTCATTTTCTCTGTCACAAACACAAGATCAAAACATCACTTACACAGAAGGGGAAGATATGTTGGCCTCCATAATACACAAGATAAAATTCAACTTTGCCATCATGGTAAGGCACGTGTGACACAGTAATACAACATGTGCCAATTTTCTCACATGCTTAACAATACAGACTTGGGGAAAATAATACGCGCCCCCAGTTGCGCTTGAAGGAGGTAAAGAAATTCTGGAAATTCCCTTTCACCAGATCAGGACAAAGTTCATTCTCTCCTGAAGCGGTTACCTCCCTTCCCTGCCCTCCCCCAAAAAGGAAAAAACCCACCATCCTCAGCTCCCACCCCAAAAAAAGAACACCCACCAGGCTCTTGGGCGGTAAGAGCACTCACAGTGACATTCCCCTCCAGCCCTCTGCAACGACTTACTTTTCTTTTCCGGCCTCCGAACAGAGAGAGGAGCAGATTTAGACCGATGAATCCATAACTATAAACCTGTTGAAAAGTATTTTGCAGTTGTCTCCAGCCCATTCACTCTTCTGTAAAGCACCAAATTGAAGAGACAGGTAGAAACAAGCGGTATTTCACTATGCTCTAGCTATGCAGGACGCAGATAACCAAGACGCGCGTTTTGGGACTCTCTTGCCTGGCTGGGACTTCATCGGCCAATTTGTCTGCCCCGAAACAAACCCAGAGTTTTCAAACTCTGCTCGGCCCAGCTACTCCGGGGCCACTGCACGCATAGCCCAGGAAACGGTCCAGTCTCTGTGCAGACCCAGTGTGAATAATGACTCACTACTTGCTGGACTGATGGCATCATTCAGTACCAAAATAATAACTCTTCAAAAGCACAGCCTCCGAGAGCACACAGTCAATTAGAACATTAGGGAGACGGTACTTTGCCACGTAGACGGTATTTCTAATGCCATCTACATTTGTGCTGCTATGTTTGGCATCAGAAATTGCAAAGCTCAATTTTTAGCACAAAGAAGAAAACTAGAGCATGATACTTCTTATCCCAAGTAGCTCCAAGAAAAAAGTAGAAAACTAATTTTCCCCTCCCACTTCTTCCCCCCCCACCAAGTGCCAGTGATGTTTCAAAACATTCATTCCCTTTCCAGAAGATGCTTTTCTCTTGGCAAAATTACCACGGCAACAAAATTGACAATTAGATTCATTTCAAATAAAAGAAATATGGGGCAATTATTTTCAATACAGCACCAAGATGTCCAAAGGTAGATGCTTTCTCCCTGTTTGTTTGCAAAAACAAACACACAAGGGAACACCTAGACATTTCCTTCCCGTAACTTGAAAGTGCCCAGATATCATCAGATCTCTGTTCTGGCTTCCACTAAACGTTGCCATCGGGCCACTTATCAAGTAAAAATATTTGCCCGTAATGAAAATATACTCCCCAACATTGATAGAAGTGTTACGTGCAGCACCACGAAGTTAGCATAATGTCTTAATGCACCTCACCCCAGGGAGCAGCTAGGGAACACGGCAAAGGGCTCTCTCTTTACATGATTTATTTTATTCCTGCCTTACACTACATCATAACCCATATCCCTTTACTCATTCTGACTGCCAACGTTTTCTTCCTGCAGCTTTTAGGTAAAATAAAAACACACTGACTGCTGGCAGACCATCTCATGACCACTAAGGCTTCGTAAATACAGTACTTGATACAAGTAACTTTTTTTCACCAATACGTGAACTATATCACCTTTGATCCAAGAAAAACGTTTCTGCACAGCCACCTGCACTTTCTCTTGCTACCTTGAAGAGAAAGGCATAAAGAAGCGTTTGAAAGTAAAACAAACCTATTAAGAAATGGCTCCAAGGCACCTTTTCAGCCTTGACTTTCCTACTACTCCTCCTCCTGGGTTCACACAAAGATAACTGATAGGAACAGCTACAGCAGAATAACCTCTTCCAAAATAGTCTTGCATGGGACATCACCTTGTAATCTGAAGTGAACTGGAATAGCTCTCAAGGGTGTGCCAGTTTACTTCCCCTTGTATACACAAGGATTAGAAGAGGTTAACTGCTGTAGTTCAGACTGGGTCATTACAGCAGCTTAACAGCTACTTCTTGAGGAATCCATACTAAAAAACAGGTGAAGTTTCACCCATTTAACTCTGAACAATCTCCAACCAACCTAAACAGCACCTAACAAAGTCAGGTCACATCAAAACAGGAAAGTCCAATAGTCTGAGGAAGTCGACAGTTTTGGTTATACTGGGAAAGAAAAAAACCCCAATACATAACAGACTCAAAGAAAGAGAACCCAACTCAAAACCCCCAAAATACCCAATTAAAAAACATGTGAAATAGTAAATAACACAAACAGCTTCTCCTATAGAGACTTTCAAGCAGATATGGGGAAAACCAACAGTCATATCATTTTCTATTGGAAAAATTAAAAAGCAACAAACATCACACCGCTATTAGCTTAAGCTCACATTGAGGAAAGTTGTCTCCGACCAACATTAACAAAGATATGACCTTTATTTTCCACTGGAATTCAACTCCCTGTTAGCTTCTAGGCCAGAAAGCATTTAAATTCTATCGCCAGTCATCTTCAGAAAAAAAACACACGCATCATTCAATATGGCTTTAAGGACATACAGACAGGCCTACCTGTGGCTCAGGTAGGGCAAGGAACAGGTAAAAATTCTCCAAACAGATGTTGTTTCAAAATAAAAACAAGGCAGGAAAAAAAAAGAAAAAGACTATTCCCAAACAGCTTCTTGACCTTATTCACTGAGCAGCAATATGTACAACTGTACCAGCACCGCAGAGGGGTCACTGAAAGGCTGGGAACATGCAGCCCGTGAGGGATAGGGGCTGCTGAAGTTGGTGCTGTCACCAGAAGAAACATTCATCAACCTGCAGCCCAAATTACCCTACTATTTGAAAAGCTGTTTTTCCTTCAGATTTGTTTCCTGATTTTAGGGGGAGCATAAGCACGAGGCCGTGTTCAGAGGATCTGATTTCCATCCTGCTCCTTACATCTACTCAACAAGAGAGCCAGGTGCCTCGAGAAGGCAACTCACAGAATCTAAGCCTAGCTAAGAGCAAGGCTTAGAGACAAGTAACAGATTGGGATGGATTTTAAACCACATGAACGTGGCCTGTTAAGGAACAGCAGGAACCCAACCCACCACCTTGGAGAAAAGCAGTCCCCAGCTCCTTTCCTTATCGATGTTTTCAACTCCTGTAGGCATCTTTACGAAAGCTAAAGGATTGGTTAATCTAGTTGGCTAATCCGTGATAAAAATCCCAGGGCTCGTTTAACCTCACTGTTAACCCAATGCTGAATTTGCTTTGGTGCAACCCCATATTTAATACTGCTCTCAATCCAAGCTATCCGTATTGTGACTTGAAGCTAGGAGCAGGGTTATAAGAGCTCCTCAACTACTAATCCAATCGTTCTACCTATCTCAAGGATTATTTTCCAGTTTACTAATCTGAGCTACTTGTTGCAATAATCCCTTATCTATAGTGAAATCACTAGGCAGATCAAAGTGCACAGCAGAAGTCAAGCTCTGGCAGCGTGCAGCACACCAGCAGCTAATTGCTCTAGTATTTCTTCTGCTTTTCTGTTACGTTTTACAGCCTGCATCAAACTCCAGGTGCCAGGAAGACCACTAACCAAACTAGCCATTCATTTCAGCTTAAACTAGGCTAAAGCTTGTTCCAGTACGGCAACACCGCGCCGCAATCACAGCTGGGAGGCTCCCGTGAACACGGAGCATTTGGCAATTTCCACGTTTTCGCTGCTCACGTTCAACAGGGAGCCTAGCGCGTACCCGGCACGGCGCTCACGCCGAAAGAGGCGGCAGTACGCGGCAAATAACAAGGTGGAAAAAATTAACACGCGAGATCTTTACCTTGTCTTAAAAACCGTCTGGGGGTTTCCCTTTCCTGCCAGAATCTTCTACCGGCTCTGCCTGCAGCTGCCACGCCGGGGGCCAGCCCCGGCCCAGCACTCACCTGGGGAGGTTGAGGAACACAACGCAGGGGAAGCGCGGACCCGGAGCTGCGTTAAGCGCTTGTCCTCTCAGCCTACAGATATGACAACGGTGGCTTCAAAACGAAAGGGCAGGAATTAAGTTCTCCCCTACCTTTTCATCTTTTTTAAAGCTTTTATTAAGAAAAAAAAAACCCAGCAGCAACAGAAATGCACTGCATAGGTACTTGGTTGTTAACGTTAAGTAATGAAATGTAATGAAAGGTTAGTGACAAGCTTCGTTCGGGGTTTTTCGGTTCCCCACCCCACTTACTTCTGACAAAAATCTCCCTTAAGACAAAAGAAAACTGTGCGCGGCACCGGTGGCAGAGCCAAAACCCTAAAAGAGAAAACACCCCGTGCCGCGACCCCGCGCTACCGAACAGGCAGATCATTAAAAAATAAAATAAAATAATTTAAAAAATAACGATGATAAAACCACCTCCCAGCAGATCACGAGGACGGGATCAGGCGGGGTGGAAGGCCGCCCCACTCCAGCAGCCGCGCAGAAGTA